TCATACTTCAAATTGTTTTAAGAAAAGTATTAATATTGTATTAGCAAAGAAGTAAAAAATTTTCTTACAAATATCTTTTGTGTATAATTAAAGGATCAATAAAAATATAAGAGAATGGAATTTATAATTATCACTATATACAGTATATAAAATAAAATACAATTAAACATTACTATAATTCCATTCTTAAAACAATTAAATTTTGTAACTATAATAGGATTGTAATTAAATATGCAGTATATAACTATAATCCAATTAATTATCAGGTAAAACTATATTATTAATAACTGAAGCTTTGAAAATATGTGATAATAATTAGGCTATGACTATAAAAAGTGTAACTATAGCCAGATCTGATTTCAATTAATATTTCTGTAATATTAAACTTATAAAAATATAACTAATAAATTCATTTACTAAATATAATAAAATTAATCAATATAAACTGTACTATTAAAAATGTCTTATAGCCAACATGGAATCAAACAAATAATGCAAAATTATATCGATAGATGAGAAAAAGAAACTATAAATCATGTACCACTGCATCCTTTATGTTGTCATTATCAATTTTATTATTCCCATCAACGATTGAAAATAAAGGCAATTGTTCGTCATCATCATTGACCAAGAGCCCTTTGTGTATTGCCCTGCGCCAAATAATATACATCTTCAACATTTTATCCATAGGTTCGCATCCAGAGCCCTCCATCCAAGCGTCATCTTTTTCGCCACAGAACAAACGCCAACTGTCTTCTGCATATTGTCCCATTCCGAACAATTCTTTAGGGGTGGAAAAATTATAATTGTCCAAATAAGATAACGAAAACTTGATCAATCGTTCAGCACGAATATTTCTAATTTTATTATAGATGTAAGTCAATAATGAATTAGTCGTCTTTCAATATAACTAGCTTTACGTACTGTAATCCAAGAGGATGCAACAAATCTGCTATTTCTACTGCATTGGCCTTAATTGTCTTCTGTGGTGTTGGATATTCTTTCAAAAACTGCCACATAATTGGAAGTGCTTGAGTACCTTTGGTACGATTCAAGAATGTCGTTGCTACAAGGAGCTATCAAAGATGTAATAAGCCAATTTTTACTGAAAATGCGAGAATGTTATTAAGGACGTAAATATTACCTTCCATGGGTCATAATACAATGTTTCTTGCACGAGATTATATGGTGAACGCATTGGTATGAATTTTGGGACGCGAATAATGGGTTCCATATTAGCAAGCGCGTCAACATCAAAAGACATAAGTTTTTTATTATTTATGAAAACGGTCAAGTTGTTTGTTGGAGGATTCGCCTCTTCTCGACATTTCCAAAAAACATTGTCCTTCGATTTCACGGAAGTTCGAGAGTTTTTTAAAGACCTGAAATACTTGGAAATAGTACCGTCGCATTCAGTTCGTTTTTTTGTGTTTTGAAAGTATGGGCTGACAATATTTGGCTTGTGAAAATAAGGACTAACGACAATAGATTCATTTTTTATTTTCTTTTGCTTCTGCTTCATAACAATTTTAACGTCTCAAGTAGATTACCTAAACTGATAAATGATTCCTACTAATTAAACTACTTATATTGTACCGTTATGATATACTATCTCTTTACTAAGATATTAAATAAACATCTACAATGTTAACTATTATGGTAGAATTACTAGTACCCGCAGCCAGGTTAGATTGTAGTTTATTAAAAACATAAGTATATTTTCTGCATGATACATACTACAACTAAATATTTCTATCAAATCTAACAAACTTATCATAAGCAATAATAACCTTTAAGTTTGGCCTTGAAAATTATATTTTGCTTCATAATGGTCTTTGGATAAATACCCTTCTAATCCATTACTTCATTATTAACAGGTTGTTATTGCTAAATGTCCTATCAAGTCACTGGAATATAAGAAATTACAAAAGGATAGATTGAGAAAAAGAAAAAGGAAATATCTAAAAATGTTCAAATGAATAACAAGAAAATAAAAATAAAAAAGAATATAAAATTCTTTAGTTTTTTTTAAAGATCTGTTTTTTAAGATTTCTTCTCAATAAGAAATATCCTATTGGATTATTTTTTTTCTTTTAACTATTTGAAAAACTTATTCATTCTTGATCTTGATTTCCTTTTCATGTATCATTTAAGAAAACTTATTGTCTAGTAAGAGCCTTTACTTTTAATAATATACTTGATTTCAATCTTTTTTATGTAGTAATTTTTTATTTATCTATAAAAAACAGGTGATTTATAATAAATTCCTGATTATTATGTGATCCAATAAAAACTGGATCATATTGTTTTAGCATAATATCTTTCAACAATTATATTTAATTAAAGAAATTTTATTATTAAACATTTTTAATTATCCAAAAAGTCAAATTCCTTAACAATTTTTTTGCTTTATAATAGTAAGAAAATTAATAGCAAAGAGTATTTTTATTAATTATAATATTCTTCAACAATTTCTAAGAAAATACATTCTCAACAATAATCAAAGAATTAGAACTTAATATGAATTAAAAACTATTTAGTTTATTGTTTAATTGAAATAAAAAAGTGACCTTTGATCTTTGATTAAGATAATAAGAGAAAAAAAACAAATAATAGCTTTTTTTATTATCTGAAAAATTATTACTTATATTATATTGATTTTATAAAACTTGATTTTTAGACTAATCCAATTAAAGAAATAGGCAGAAATAGAGTATCAATCAACTTTTCTATCATTAATAATATCATTGGAGATTAGTAAATACTTGTTTACATTCAATTACTAATATACTGTATTTTATATTTATCAATTATATTTTACAATGTATTGTGTTACTTAAATTCAAGGTGAAACTTAAGTAGGTAAAATTTTTCAAAATATCAAAAAAATTTAGGTGACTATAAAAAGAAAAATATAGTGGACTGATATTTTAAAAATATAGTTTGATATTTATTATCTCCTATTACAAAAGATTTCTATAGATATATTTCAATATGAAAGGTTTTAAATACTATATTATTATTATTTTTTTTCTTATGGAACTTTTTTGCTATAAATAGAAAAGATATTTTTTGACTTTTCTAGATTATAGAAAGTTTTTTTTGAAGATAAATATAAATAAGAAAAAGAGTTTGTAAGTATTC